GTTCTTACGTATTCGTAGTCGGCTTATTCCCACGATGGCGCACGGCGCGCGGGGTCGAGAAGCTGTCACGCTCCCTTTCCCGCCGGGGGAACAGCGGGAGAGCGGCAGGGAGGGAAGGAGGGTGGGTGGGAGTGGGAGTGAGACGGGGTGAAATTGATTTTTACGAAGGCCGGCGATCCGGCGACGGTAATTGGAAACGGCTCCGAAAGGTGTGTAATGATTTTTTAACGAGGAATCGATAACGCCGGATTATCCTACCGTTCGCGCCCCCTTTCCCGGCAGCGTTCCGCGCGACTTCCACGGATCCGCTTCCTCGATCCGAATCGGACGTAACTCGCTCGGTCGCTCGCTCGCTCGCGAATTTCCGGCGCGGGACGCGTCCTTATTTTCGAGCGGTCCCCGGGCGTTATCTGGCGTGGTTTATAGCGGGGCGGTGGCATTGTTTTCCCTGCGGCCGGCTAGTTATCACGTTCGTTTATTTATAAGGGAACTTTATGACCGCCATTTACCGGCGTCCCCCACGTAATAACAATAATAGCCTTGTAACGCATGTGCATTCTAATTGCAGCGCCGAACTTCGTGAGCTCGATGTCCCAGGGAGACTTCGTCTACTTCTTCTTCCGGGAGACCGCTGTAGAATATATCAATTGCGGCAAGGTAAGTAGTTTGCGCCGCCTAATTGCACAATTAGTTCGCGGAGAGCGCGGATCCATTCCGGGAACGAGCGGGAAATCGACGGCGATTAAACGCCCGGCAACTCGCGTAACAAACGGGAATTCCGACCCGGCACTTGTGTTCCTCCTCTTAACGGGTACGATGATCTTCCGCGCGCGCGATCTCCCGGGGGCCGGTTGCACGCGCCTCTCCTAGCCGGCGAACGATTTTCGACGAGCGACACGGAAAAGTTGCATCCGCGGGGCGCGCGTCCTCGAGCGAACCTCCGCTCCAATTTATCGTCAAAGGGACCGCCGCCTGGTTTCTCCGGGGTTCGCGACGCTATCGCGCGCAATTTTACACCGCCGACGAAGATGCATCGACGCACGTACACACGCGCGCGTAATAACGGGCCGCGGGGCGAATCAGGGGAGCTGCACTCGATCTTATCGAACGCCCCGCGAGGCGTCGGGACGCGGAGCGGGCCGGCGTATCGGCGCAGCGGGGTCGCCTCGGCATTCGCCGTGCACGAGAGAAACGGCTGCACGCTTTTCACGCTTCTTTTTTTCTCCCTCTCGTTTCCAGACCGTCTATTCTCGCGTGGCGAGAGTCTGTAAATACGACCGAGGTGGTCCGCACCGTTATCGCAATAGGTGGACCTCGTTCCTAAAGTCCAGACTTAATTGCTCCGTCACCGGAGACTTTCCTTTTTACTTCAATGAAATACGTAAGTACGACGATCCGCGCGTCGCCGTCGGATCGCGAGCGATCGATCCGCTTCGCCCTCCTCGGGGGCCGGCGTTCCGGTGGCTCCTTTCAGGAGGAACCGCTCCGAGGGATCGAAGATCGAGCGCGACGGACGGCGACGGCGTGATCGATTCCAAAAAAGCGCCCCGTGTTTGCCCGTGCACGTCCGCGGCGCAGCGGCCGGGAAATAAATTTTCGTGGACCGCTCGTAAACGTCTACGGCTGCGGGCGGACCCGGGCGCGCAAACAAAGAGCCTCGAAATTACAGCGAGCGTTATTTGCAGAATCAACGACGGAACTGATATCGGGCCAGTACGGCAATAAGTCGGCGCAGCTGATATACGGCACGTTCACCACGCCGGTGAACAGCATCAGCGGCTCGGCCGTCTGCGCCTTCTCCTTGCAGGACATCACCGACACGTTCAAAGGGAACTTCAAGGAGCAGAGCGCCATCAACTCGAACTGGCTGCCGGTGCAGAGCACCAAGGTGCCGGACCCCAGGCCGGGACAGTGCGTCAACGACTCCCGCTCGCTGCCCGACCTGACGCTGAACTTTATCCACACGCACTCTCTCATGGACGACCTGGTGCCCAGCTTCTTCGGGCAGCCCATCGTCATACGCACCAGCTTCCAGTAAGTGTTGTCTCGAAAGAGAACGATACGAATGAAATCATTGAGTAATCTGAATCTGGTAAGGCGTGTATCGTCTCGCTATAGTTGGTAGACGATTGTAATCTCGCAAGGAGTTACGGATTTAGAAATGAAAAACTCCCGTGAGAGGGTTAATAACACGACAAATATTGCAATAATAAAATACAAGCTATTTAGAGATAATTCGATGGAAAAGAAAACGGAGAGAAACAAGAATTCCATGCACGATCAGGTTATCTTCAGAATCATAGCCGTACACTGCTGCTACACCTTACCGTACACTAAGTTTCCATTTCTAGATTCATTCGAGAACAGATTATTCTGTCTAGCTGTCTCCTAGTCAGTCTCCTCATTTTCTAAATCCTTCTAACGTCATCCGCATCTTCCAGTTACAGGTTCACGCAGATAGCAGTGGATCCGCAAGTGAAAACGCCCGGCGGCAAGACGTACGACGTGCTGTTCATCGGCACCGACAACGGCAAGGTGATCAAGGCGGTGAACGCGGAGTCCGCCGACACCCACCTGAAGGTCAGCCCCGTGGTGATCGAGGAGATCCAGGCGTTCCCGTCGACGGTGCCGGTCCGCGGGATAAAAGTGGTCCGAGCCTCTCAGGCGGGCGACGGCCTCGAAGACGGCAGGCTGGTCGTGATCGCCGACAGCCAGGTCCAGGCGCTCAGGCTCCACCGGTGTTACAGCGATAGGATCTTGTCGTGCGGCGAATGCGTGGCATTGCAGGACCCTTACTGCGCCTGGGACAAGATCGAGGGCAAGTGCAGGGCGTTGGTGGGCCCGGCGGCCACGGACGCCAGCCGATTCCTGCAGAGCGTCGCGACCGGGATGCACGGCTCCTGTCCGCCCAGCAAGAGCCTGAACAAGGACGCCGGCAGCGTCGGCGCGATCTCCGCGAACCAGAACAAATTCCCGCAGGACTCGATGATCCCCAATAAGGAGGGCCAGGGCGGGGAGATCATCAACATCATGCAAGACGAGGAGCAGGATAATTCAGGTAGCCGCGGAACGATGCGCCCGCACGGTTCCCGATGATTATCGTCTCAGGAAGCCCGCCAATCGGATCGTACGATAACACCGCGCGACTTTTTGCTCGGTTACAGGCCCCGAGGTGTCGGCGGCCGACTCGCCACCGCCGCAATATTCCGTGGAGACTCTGGTGATGGCCGTGGTGGCCGGCGCGTTGGCTGCTCTGCTGGTCGGTTTCGTGGCTGGCTATCTGTGCGGCAGGAAGTGCAGGAAAGACGAGGACGACAATCTACCGTACCCGGACACGGAGTACGAGTACTTCGAGCAACGGCAGAACGTTAACAGGTGAGCGATGAATTTCTTCCGTGTCTTGGACGGATAGGGTAGTTTCGAGAGAGATGGGTCGATGTCGTTTAAATCGTCGGATGTCTATCTTTCGTTAGTATACCGGATATTAACTAGAGACCTGTTCAACTGTTGTCTTATCGCGTGTCTATCCTGTTCATCGGGTGGAGAGTAAGGAAAGAAATAAACGATCGGCTCGGAATGTTACAGCAGGTTAGCGCCGGAGCCGAAATTGCTGCCGCAGGAGGAGGTGACGTACGCGGAGCCGGTGCTGGTCCCGCAGCCCCCGAAGCTGCACTCCCCGAAAGGCACGATGCGAAAGCCACCGCCGACACCCACAGAAACGCTGTTCCAGTTCCCAGACGGGTACGGTTTCCGCGGGCCGAGGGACAACTTCGGCACCCTGCGGTCGCACCAAGGCGACGCGTACCGACGCACCGACGGGTTCGCGACCACCCGCAGCGTGAAGAAGGTTTATCTCTGAGAAACGAGCGAGGAGGGAGGCGGCCGTCACCGGAGCCTAGGACGGCCGGCGCGCAATCGCCGTAACGCGATTGTCACGTCCGGGGGACAGTCGAACCGCGAGCTCGCGGGCCCGAGGACGCTAGAGTCGCCCTCGCCGCCGTCGAGCGTGTCGTCGAGTTCCCCGTCTCCTCCCTCCTCGTCACCCTCGCCAACCCTCGTGCCGATCGCCATGACAGGCGGCTCGCCGCCGCCCCCGACGCCACCCTGCAGCTTCATCTACCGGTCATAGTCGTCGTCGTCGCCGTCGGCGTCGTCCTCGTCACCGCCGCCGTCGTACACCGCTTCTTGTTACGCGACGCCAGCACCAGCAGCAACGGCAACAGAACCGGCAGAAACA